TGAGCGCCCAACACAAGATGTGGGTATCTTCTAAACCCCCTGGCCAAATAAACATACAATATATTACAAAGGCAATACATCAGTTTAAATTGCCTATAAAAAGATTGATAAATATAATAAAATTACAGATAAGATTTTAAGAAATTGGCTTGCAGGATTTTATTTTGCAAACCACAACCATGTAAATCCGTTGCAGATAATATACCCTAGAATTTATGCATTTTTTCATTCCATTTTGATGTTTTACTTTAATGTGCCCTAATTTAATTTTTGTTTTGTTTTGTTTTATAGAAGCTTTTATTATAATTATTATTTAATATATAATTGACTTTATTTTTATTAAATTGAAAACCAATTATTTAATGTTATTGTTATTACTATTATTTATTTATTTATTACAGCCTTAGTATGGGCGTTGGTTCGAGTTGGTAGAACCAAGTCTTCTCGAATAAGGAATTAAAATGGAGTTCTAGTGTACTTATCTGGCTCATGTACACTTAGACAACCCATCGCATATTTTAGAAGAGTAGAGGGTTACCCCAATGCTATGCTTAATTTCAGCCCCTGTCGTTGTGGAACGATGTGAACATGTAGTTACTATAAGCGCCTCTTTACGGCGGCTAGGTAGTCACGGACCACACCCGTATGCAATTCAGCACAATGACTCTTTTAGTTATGGGTTATTCTCCTACCTTTACCTTTACCATAAACTCAAAATTAAAGATTAAGAGTCTTTATTCAGGCATGTACAAAATAAAGCAAAGCATTTAAATTCAAAGTCGATCGAAAAAGAATTATATGTACATGACAAAGATAAATCGTTTCTGTAAAATCTTTCTTCAAACGGTTGTCTATTTTTAGAAGTTGTCAGTATAATCTATGTTTTAATTCATGGCATCGTATCTTGAAGCTTCTGAGAAATCTGCAGTATTCAAAATTTGAATTTAAGATTTCTCTTTCTGTCAATCAGCTGACTCTAAGCATCACACTGAAGTCTTAAAGTTCCTTCAGCTTAACTCAAAAATTTTTCTCGTTCTTATTTTCAATTTAAAGCCAATAATTTGCTTGAAGTATTTAGATTAATAATTGGAGTGGAGTTTAATAGCTTATAAGATGCTTGCTTAGCCATGGTCCTAGGTTTAACTTCTGTCATGGTAGGACTTTTTTTCACGACTGTTTCACTTCTAGGCCTTAATAAGAGACTTACTGTATCAAGTATCAAGCATCAAGCATCAAGCTGTTGGATGTAAAGGAAATTTTTAAAAAAAAACTTTTAGGAAAGGAAATTTAAAAAAAAAATAAACTTTTATTAATTTTATTTTTATTTATTTTTTTTTCTGTTCCTTACTTAAATTTGAATTGTGCAATAAATGAAAATCTATTTAACCTTTGTTTATTTTATATACATATATATTTTTATGTATTTGGTATAAAACAATCCCAGAGCTCAAGCTAGTGAGTTCTAGGGGTCCCAAGTTGGAAGAAGTCATTTCCTGGAGATCTGTGGTTGTGGGTCGGGTCGGGTCGAAGGGTATGGGAAGGGTGCAGGTAAGGACTTCCACAGATGAAGGGTCTGTACCACCTTAGCCCCATAGTAGTTGGAGCTGAGGTAAGAACATTTTTTTATTATGGTACGTCTAGATGATCGGAAATGGCCCTCTCAGACTTAATATGATACAATTTTTATTATTAACACATTTAATTTTATTTTGTTGCACATAGTGATATTTATCAGCAATGACTTCTGTGAGAAAATTGACAATAAAGCAATGAAAACATGCAAAATTATGAATTTGTGGAGAAAGGTTAATTACTAGGTGATTCTTGCTGGCTTTTGGAAGGCAGGAGGCCGTCCCGATTTCAGGGAGACTCCCGAGATGCAAATGCAGACATATGAATGATAAAGATGCTTTAAATGGCAGAAGTATACAAAAAATAAACATTCAGATTTTCATAAAGAGACAAATTGAAAAATTAAAAAACAAGGATAGGACACCCACACAAATCATTGCTAATCATTTTACAAACAAATAAATTTCATAACATTAAATATGAATATAAAATTGTATTTTTATTATTACCACTATATCATTGTTTATTATATTGAATTACCTTGAAATAGTTACAAAAATAGAATTTGAAATTTGAAAATAAACATTGAAGAGAGAAATTCTAAACATTATTGTTTAAATGTTTGTGGCAGTTTTTATCGCTGTTTGTTTTGAACTGAATAAAATAAAGCTAAAAATAAATAAACCATGTTAATGATCTATACCTTAAAGGAGAACCTTAATTACATTCGTTTAAGAATTCTATAGTTGGTTTCTTCTATAATTTCAAAATAGCATTGTGTAGTAGAGTGGCCAATTCCTTTCCACACCGCCTGTTTATCTTCTCCAGTGTATTTCAACCAGGTACCCATTTATACAAATGTACACATAGTTGATGGTTCGAACCCATGAGCTTGAGAGACGAAACGCAATGCTGCGCCAACCAAACCCACAATTTATTTTAATGGATGTTTATTAAGATATATATATATATATTTAAGGTATCCATTGTTCAGTATCATAAAGTAAATGTTTTAAGGGATCAACTAAGAACAGTTTAATCAACCTGCAATGTTTCTTTTATGTTTATGTCATTTGGTAATTGATAATAATGTGGTCCCTAAATTGAATGAAAATATTTTTTTTTCCTTTGCATTATTTTATTGTGAATTATTATTCAGAATGTCATGAGTCAGGCTGTGGAGAATTTTTGTTTTCTGGGTGTGAACATTTTCAGTGTGTGAGGACATTCAGACAATAAAAAACACATAATTCACTTTAAATTGATACTTCACAGACTGTGGGGTTGTGACCCAAATTTCAGCAGGCAATAATGAAAATATAGTGAAAATTGCATTAATGTTTCCAGCCATCTTTAGAGGTGCCATACCATGGTGGGACTGAGGGAGGATAACTCACCTGCTCCTGTTTGTCTCCATCTCTTTACAAAGCTGCCACTTAATAATGGTTACTATTTAATATGCAATTTTACGCAGTGCTTCAAAAAGTGAGCATCAATGGAGCATTCTGGAGTGTCAAACTTAACTGACCAATCAGAATGGGGCCATGTTCTATACGTGTACATTTTTCTTTTCAAATACACACGTGTTGTTCCACAAACTTACATGCTTGCATATGTTTTTACACTGTCATTTTGCGGGGACCTTAGCAACGTCGTCCAAGGGTTGAGGCTTAGTGGAAAGGTGTATGCTTTTAATCAATCTGGACCTAGCCATTTTAGTTAATCATCATTTTTACAAGCCCAACCTAGATGGTCTTTCAGTAATAACTACTTATTTCTGACAAGGTGGGTTGCCTTTGTAAAAACAATTTTTGAAATTAATTGTTTAATGTTTTAGTAGTTAGAAAAGATTGTTAAAATGTCATCACTACAAATCGTGTTCATAAAACAGTTTGTTTCTGGGAGGTTTGTAATGTGGAGATTTCACTGTATATATACAGGGTCTCCCTCCAATATAAAGACCACTTTTGGGACTGGTGTTTCCATGGTCTTCAGAAGCTTTGGTCTCTAATTAGAATAAAAGGATAATAGAAAAGAGGTTTTTAATTTGAGGAGTCTTTAATTAGATCGACACCTGATGTCATGATATGCTGGTCTCCCTCCAATTAAAGACCACTTTTGCCACTGTTGTTTCTATGATCTTTAGCTGATTAGGTCTAATTAAACTAATAAAGATAATAGAAATTAGTAAATTTGGGAGCATAGAAAAGTGGTCTTTAATTAGAGGTGGTCATTAATTGGAGTGGTCTTTTATTAGAGGGAGACATGTATTAGTTAATTGAGGAGGGATGTGGAAGTGGTTTATTTTGCTGCTGTGGTACAGGCTCCAACCTTTGACGTCAGAGTTTTGGATCACATGCGTTCCTTATCACAAGCTCTTTCTCTTGTGTCCACCCAAGAGTTCTGCTAGGATGTTGGTGACATTGAATGCCTCAGTCATGCTGTAGTGCGTTGCACTGCAGTAAAACTTTGAATTCTGCTTAGAAAGCGAAAAGGTTCAGTACAAGGCGTGCACAAGTGTTGCTAAATTGACTAATGGTAATAAACTTTGTAAATAAATGTTTATGCATTTTTACAATAAAATATTGATATATATATATTATATATTGACATTTCTTTTTTTAATTTTTTTGCAGTACTTTTTGTCCACACAAAACATTGTTGTTTTTTTGACAATCAAATAATTGATGTTGGAATGATAGCTGTGTAAAAAAATGTTTATTCGTTCTTTAATCTATTTTTAGAAAACTAATCGGATTTAGTCTTTCCTTGAAGCTGATAATAAAATTAAAATTCAAATGTGTTTTTTTCCCTTCTAACATGGATCCTGTCCATGACAGGATTGATGAATGAGTTCTTCAGATATTCATGGCATGATATCAGTAAATTGATGCTAAGAATAACCTGTCTACTGATGGAGATTTAGGCTATAGAGGGCAGCAGACATGCTTGAATATTTCTCTTTGATAATCACAGAAAGCACTTTCATTGCTAAAGCACTGATCTCCAAAATGTTTCATTGACTTTATGGGAAATATAGTAACAGTAACTTCATGCAATTATATGAAATAAAAAAATAACTCCTTTCTCACTGTACACATTAATGTAATTTGCATAAAATTGCCTATGAAGTATACTGCTCTAGAATTTTAATTATATATGTTGTGTATGAAAGATTATTTTTATTCTATTCAGATACTCAATAAAACCTAACATAAAAATTATTAAAATGAAAATTTATTAGAATGAAAGATTATTTTTATTCTATTCAGATACTCAATAAAACCTAACATAACTCACCAGTTATTTAAAATAACAAAAAAAAAAAAAAAAAAGCATAAGAGAATAAATTACTTTAAATTCCCATGCTATTGTAGTTGTAATTAATAAATTTGCTCATTATTTTTTGCTCTTTTTTTTATTCTTGCAGGAACTAAAACGCATTTTATTGAGAAGAAGAAAGATAGGAGTAGTTCATCTGCCGTTACCAACACCCCACAGAGCGTAGCGGGGTCAGACAACCCGGCTGAAAATGGCAATAGTTCCAACGGGGGTGATGCAGCACCCGCTCCCAACACAGCCGTGCAGCAGGTAACAGAGCAAAAAAAAGAGCAAAACTGAAAGGAAAAGGCTGGCTTGTATAAACACTCGCTTACATTAAAATGCTTGCTTACATAATACAGATCTCTGTCCGATTAAAGACCACTTTTGGGATCTGAGTTTCCATGGTTTTTAGCAGCATTGATATTTTATTAGAATGATATGTAAAAGTCATTTGTTAATTTGGGACTACAGAAAAGCGGTCTTTATTTGGAGGGGTCTTTAATTAGAGGGAGACATGTATAATTTTTTTTTTCCTAATATTTTAACAATAAAAACTATTTTCTTTGTTTTAATTAAGTTATTTTCAGCAAAATTTAGCAATTAACACTAACATTTACAGTCTTGAAGTATGATTTTAAATAAACTATAAAAAAAAAAAACACCCTATATTTCGTAGAAGTTGTGGAATTACAATTCATTAGGGAAAACATTCAAATTATATCTAACCTTCCAGACTTTAATCCTTTTAATTGAAGTTTCATATGTTTTTCTATAATGTCCTGCAGAAATGCTTTAAAATTTATTTAGAATTTTTAAAGCAATCAAGAACATACTGTATGAAGTTATCAGCTTCAAACAAATTGATAACATTTTGTGTCTGAATTAGTAACATAAAAATTGGATAAAAAAAGAAATTCTATTGATTTCTCCTTGAAAAAATTATGGAAACTATGATAAATATATTTCCGATATAAGATCTTCCCGAAAAATCAGGTCGGTGTTATAGATTGCTTCCAACACCTTGCAGTATTAACGAATGTGTCAGAAAGAATAATTGAGTCATGACAAGTAATCAAATTCTGTTGACGCTCGTTGATTTTAAAGGTACCGGTGTCATGCACGTCTATACCACTTCATATGCCCTTAAGTTATTTTGATAGACACCTGTCAAGATTGACGTACACAAATCAAATTAGATTAAATGCTTAAATCGGGGTTCATCACTGCCCTAGTTTTTTTCTTTGAAATACTCCCATTTAGAAAATATTTAAGCTGAGAATATAAATATTTTATTTGAACCTTTTAAATAGTAATAATAGATATGAAACAAAGAGGAGGGAGATTTCTGTGGCTCATCAAGACTATTTTCAAGCAAACTACCATCTGATAAACTAAACCATTCTCTTTATTTGTAAAATTTGTAAAAATATGATTAAAATTATGCTGAAATTTACCATTTACATGCTAAAGTTCTTCATTTTCCTCACACCCATTAAGACTTTTACTGGATCCCACTAGGGTGCCTAGTTGATTCTGGGCCTTTGACTCTCATTGGAAACCCTCCCTTAAGGTGTTCTGGGTAACAGGCCTGAATAATCATTTACGTGCAACTTTGATATCACATCCTAAACCACTCTATAATGTTTTATTATTACTCTAATTATAAAAGTAGGGAAGCAATTATTCCTAGTGGCAAAATTGAATACATTTAACTGTCATAAATCAAAACAACCAATCACAGGGTTGGAAGTTTCAGGATAATAATATTTCTAACATTCATAGCCGTATGATTACGTGCTGACTTGCACACATGGACATGTGTGTCTATAATATTTTAAGATAAATGAGTCTAAAGCTTCATTCATGAACTGTTAATGCATCCAATTACAAATAATGATAATTAACACTAATTGTAACTTTTTTTTATTTATGAAATCTCACAGCTATGTTATTAAATTATGATAAACATTTATTGACTTCACAGGTATTATTATCATTTGAATACATTTTAAGCTGACAGTTACTATACTAATTCTGGTATAAGCCCACTATCTGAAGTCTCTCCATGAGTTTATATGGAGCCTCTTTTTGACATCCTTAGACCATGTGCCTAAAATAGATAGCTTGAATAAAATAAAAAATCAAACAAAATTAATTTGTGTAAAAGTTAGATCATGAAGAAGCATTCCTTGTCAAAACTAAAATTATAAATTAATCAAAAGTAGAAATTAAAGTGAAAATTGTAACATTTAATCTGGTATTTGCATTTCAGATGTTTTTTGGTATTCATGTAATAACTGCATCAGACTTAAATATTTTTTAGAGTTGGATAAAAATGAATGTAGAATAATGTAGAATTTATCAAACACATCAGTAGTTTTTTGAACCAGCTCATTCAAGGTAGAAATTGTGATGAACCCTATTAGTACTAACGCATGTTCTTTACACTTAGGTCAGTAACAGCCAAGCACCTAAAAGTAGTCCTGTACGGATGCCTCGAGTGCTGTCACGCAAAACAACCCATCAGCATGCCGAGGCGCATAGTAATCCGGAAAGTGCACAGGTAACTAGAACTAACAACACAACACCGGAAAGTTTAATGGCATTTTTTGCACTTTTGTTGACCTAACAGCTATGTAACACTTAACATGATTGGTTGGTTGACTGATAAATTCATGCCATGTTACTATTAAACAAAAAGTTGTGTTGAGTTTTAATTTTTAATTATTCAGAATTAAATTTTGGAATTTTACAAATTTTATCAATCCAAAAGTTAGTCTTACTGTATTACTAGGGACCTTTCGATTGCATGACAACAGCAAGACCTAGAATGTAATGACATCACTAAGAAGTCATCTGCGCGTGTGAGAAAGTTGAGATCTCGTCGCCTGGATTCTAGGATGCAGTTTGGCCTGAATGTTTGTTGTGCAAAGAATGATGGGTTATGTTGTCGTGCAAACCCAAAGCTCCCTATCGATACAGTTTGTAAATAATTTTTACTCATAACAGAGATTTTATTAAAATTTTACCAATGACTAGTTATTATTCCGCCCTCTACAGTTTTGAACTCCAGTGTTTCATTTAATTGAACAGATTTCTTTTCATAAATATCTAATTTAAATTAAAACATGGCAATGAAATATTGATATTCTTATCTATTTTCATAATCTTATAACTTAACACTTTATTAAGATATAATTGTTACATTTAAATTTTGTAGTATGTTGTGTTGATGTTTAAATTAATATAATAAATGCAAACTAAACAGCACATACTACTAAGGCAAGACTTTTTTATACGTTATTTAGCGAACCTGCCACCAGCCCATAATAATTTAAGTTTTTATTTTTTTCCTGCCCTCACATGACGACCTTTAAAAAAATAATTTTGCAAAACAAGGTACGGTATAAAAAAGGACTTGCATAATGAGTACACATGTTGCTTTGCCTAAAAAAATTTCTATAGTCTACCGTATAAGTTATTACAAGCATCCATTCTCTTGAAGAAGTGGCCACCTAAGTGCCTTACATGTTGGTGGAGGGTATTTATGAAGTGTTTTTAGAACCATTCATATCCATTATCATGATAATCAAAGAAATCTGAAAGATTGCCAAAAGTACAAAATGGTGATAGTAATACTTTATTAATCCTTTAATGAATGAAATTGGAAGTTTCCATTATAATGTTCAAAAATCAATATAGAATATTACATCAACTCTAAAAATCAACTCTAAAAATAATTGTTTAAAATCTAAAATAAAAATTTCAATGCCAATTTTTTCAACTAGCATTTATAATTCACACACTTAGTGGATAGAATATACTTAACAGATAATAATTCGTTCTAAAAGAATTCCCTTACAAACTTTGAACATTTTAGTTACCTCCCCAGTCTAATTATTATCCCTCTTCAATAATTGGCTCTTTTTAATAAGCACTCCCTTCAATCATCATTTATCTTCAGTAAACACCCTCTACAGAAAGCACCCCTTTTCCAACAAGTGCCCCCTTTTTAATAAGCATTTCCCTTCAATAATCTCTCGTCTTGAATAACCCTCCTGTCCAATAAACTTCTGTGTGCTAATCGCCTTCTTCGATAATTTTTCCGTTACTTTTAGCACCGATATTGAAAGCCCAAATTTGTTTGATTAGGACATTGAATCATTATAGTAATAGCTTATACGGTATAATGCATAACATTCAATTTGGCGGGTTCAAAGGTTACTGCTGGTTGACAGGTGCTGCTGTATATATGGTTCTTTATCTGTTATGTCATGTTTTAATTGTAATACCGGGTCTGCATGTTCTTTAAACTAAATTATCTCAGGGTCGTATTTAGCTTTACGATGCAGGAGGGGAAAGATGTTTTTCCCTTATCCTCTAAGGTTATCGAGTGAATGGGGGCGTCGTGCTCCACTCTGGAATTGTTTTCCACTCCTGCACTAGATACTGCCCTGTACCTCATTTTCCAATTTTTATCTGGTGAGAGGAAACTAATAAAAACAGTGTACCAAAGGGTATTAAAAAATTTTGTAAACTTTTGGTATTTTCCAATATGAAAAATATAATTGTCAGCACATGCATATTATTACATTCATTTATTTCACACATAAAAATACAGATATACAAAATAAGATAAATATATAAAATTATTTTATTCAGTCTGTACATAATATTAAGGTTTTGTACACACATGTTCAAGAGAAATGATCAGTTGTAATTTATATACCAAGCGGTAGCATATCTAGGGGTCTTAAAGTAGGGGTGCTAATGGAGGGGGGTGCGAAGGTGAAGTGGGGAGGCTTGATAATCAGATGGGGGGGGGGCCTCTAACTAGCAAAATCGAGTGATTTTAGGTGATTTTAAAATACGCCACTGATACCAGGAATTCATAAGAAGCTCAACATTGATTCAGAAAGAAAGACAGATAAAACATTTTTTTAGAGAGATGTGAATACATATAAAGGGGAGTAAGGAAGTGTTAGAGAATGTTGAAAGTGGGTCAGTCAAACTGTTGTGGAGGTGAGTGGAGTAAGTACCCTTACCAATTATGGGGTAGGCTTATTTAATTGCATTTGACTCCATACTCTCGTGGGTATTTTTGTAGCCCATTTAATTTTTGGTATCTCTATTGCCATCAATTTAAAAATACAATTGCAGCTAAAAGCTGAATTGGAACAGTCTTAATAAATCACAACAATCAAACATAATAAAGAAAATCATAAAAAATGGCATATTATTCAAATTATATCTTAAAGAAAATCAACTATTACTTTAAATAATAATTAGGTTTTAATGATACCCAGTCTGTTGCCCAATAATCTAAATTGACTGAAAGGGAGGTAGAGTGCAAAATTATAAAAAAAATACTTGAAAGAGAAGAATAATTTTAATGGTGTTGAAATTATTGGAAGCTAGAGACAGAGTGATTATTTATTGGCCAGTCATATTGTGAGAATGCTAACAGGGAGAGTGGGTGTGTCTTTCAAATTTGACAGCCAATCACAGGTTAAAGAGCAATATATAAGTTCTCTGCGGAACTGCGCTATAGTGATGTGATTGGTTGAATAGTACCATTCTCATTAACATAATCTGGTTCTTTCCAGAATCTAAGGATTCACAGCCAAGCAAGTTGTCCAAGTCAATTTCAGAGTAGATAAATTGATTGATGTGTTTAAACTTTCTGATATACACCATGAACCATTTATGATTATCTATTTGAAAATTATAATTACCTTATAAATATTATTGTGTACTTTAATACTTTATATTTGTTGTGATGACAGATATGATTATGAATTTAATTTTTTTTTTATGGGAATTGACAATCTTAAAAAACAATTTGTAGACTTAAAATATACTTATGAAGTCTTGTCCACACTATCAAATTTGGTTTGAAAAAAAAACATGACATGCCTAAATATGGTGATGATGACATCACAACATGACTATATATGGGCATACAACAAGGGAAATTTGATAATTTGGACAAAGCTTAACTATATAGGAGGGATAACCTCTATCAGGGGCTTGCATTCATTGATGCTTTCTTTACTTAAATATAGAGTAAAAGTATAATATAAATAAAAATAATGAAGATAATAATAATATAATATAATATGAATGTAAGTAATGTAATTAATTATTTTAGAAAAATAAATTAAAGTATATGTTTAATAAATTTGCAATGGTATATGTTTAATAAATTTAAAATTACAAAGAAAAGTATCTTTATATGTTGGTTAAATTACTATTAACTATATTTTGATATAAATTTAAATTGCCATTATTAATCAAAAATCTAATTGCTTAGAAACTACTGTAAAACAAACAAATGCTGTATCATGTATTTATTTGATGTAGGTTAAATCAAAAAGGAATCGTTTATTAGTACGATGATGCTAAAAATATCAGTTAATTGCAGATTGTGCATACGATAATTTCATTAATAAAACAAAATTGCATTGTCACTTTCGTATAAAGTTGACTGCTATTTATATACTAAGCAAAAAAATTAATCTGTTGTCAATTAATAATGTGTTTACATAATTTTATATTTACCTAGTTACTTACATGGGAAGGGATAATGTTCATTAGGTATTTGTGCGTATCTACCCACCCAAATCCAGTCATGCTTGACTGCATGTGGTCATGCTTGACTGCACATGTCATGCTTGGTTGCACACAGAAATATTTGGCTACATGTTTATAACATATACATAGTGTAGCAAGATAACTATATGCGGAATATCATTTCCCATACGATCACATTTTTTTCAATTTTTTTTTTTTTTTTTTTTTTTTGTATTTTACTGATTTTTTCATTGTATTTTTTAAACACTGCTATTTAAAGTGGCCTTGATCTGAGCTGACTATAGTGTGAACTTGGTTTGTTTCCTGTGCCAGTTTTTGCAATGTGTTGACAGTAGAGCCAACACAACTTGATGGTTATTATGATAGGAAGTTGGTAGTTCTTTACTTGTTGAGCTTTCAGTAATGTTACTTCTTATCCTCCTCCATGCTGCCCATGATAATAGCTATCGATACTGCTACACACTGCATGAGTATTTAGCCTTTGTGAACTAACAGAATCTCGGTAAAATTGTAGATTTTGTTGCATTAAGAAAAATAACAATTTCAAGCATTGTTCAATGGTAATTTTTTGTGAGGAAAGACAAGCATTTAATTGGAATAGGTGTTTCCTGTTTAGATCATGCTGTGGTTATAAATAGATTCAAGTAGCATACTCCTCAGTGTAGTAACTACATGCAGCCAGAGTTGTTACAATGCTCAATTTGTAGTGTTTGCAAGTGTATTCATTTTACAAGTGCATATATAGGTTTGCTTGTGTGTAATTCTACAAAAATATTACTTTATTAATTTGATTTTTAAAGCTCTACATTATCAGTGCCCTTCCTGTATTCCCGATCTTATTCAGTTATGCTCCCAAACCTGCTGTCGTGCACTTTGATCCACATCTAGCTCTTCTACACTTTGTACTCATATTTGCAAGCTGAAGTTGAGCGTACTTTTGAGGTCGCCGCTCTTAGAATCCTTTTTCTTTTAGTATAGAGGAATCTCCATACATTTCACTATTTAAGGCTTTTCCAAATTGTTTTTCTTTTTGTTGATTGCTTTTTTTAAATTTTTGCTCCATTTCCATTGTCTCTTCTTCATCTTATTTTTTTTTCTTTCAATTTTTTTTTGGATATTTTGTATACTAGGTGTCTATAAGCATATAGAAACCTAGTATTATGCACTAGTCTACTTCCATTACCATTATAAATGTACTTATTAAAATAGTCCCAGTAAATTAGCTTATTCGACAGGTTTATTTCGTTGAGTACGAATTTTCGTTGAGTATTATTTTCATCGACTGGTTCGTAAAATAGACTTTGTTGACAATAATTAAGTTATGCATGTGACCAAAATAAATATTGCCGATTGGTCAGTTTAGCAACAACATTTGCGTTAATATAATTTAGATTAAATTTCAGAAAATAAAAATAAAAATATTTACCCACATTGAAGTCAAAAAATAATTGTAGGCTAACAGAATTCAAAAACTGGATGAAAACAATTTTTTACGAAAAATCCATACGGCCACAATCCGAAGCAGCCATGATTATGCAGCGTGTATCGTGGTAACTATGCAGCCATTTTGTTTTGTCGAGTATTTACCAGTTTTCTATTCAACTGGTCGTCTTCGTTAAGTAGGATTTTACCACTGCTCAGGTGGGCGTGGTTTAACGAAGAACGACCAGTCGAATACGGCCAGGGATTTTCCCTCATAGACATGGGCCATACTGTGAATAGTTTTTGAAACTAGATTTGAAGTGGATGACTGTAACTTAGTCTCTTAATGTGGAGTGAAATAAAGAAACTTGCCAATTATTGGATGGAACTCATAAACTTGCCCAATACATTTCTGTATCGGTTAGTTCTCATGTACCGTAAAACCTTGAATCCTGGTCTTCTTTTTCTTTGTGAACTTTGAATGGGCTTCTTTTCAAGGCTATATTTGCAAAGTAAAAAAAAATTGGGGGGGTGGGGAGCTTTTTTTCACAATGAATGCTGTAAATTTTGGGAATTACTACTAAAATCATGGGCTTCTTTTCGAGGCTACTTTTGCAAACTGAAGAGGGGCTTCAATTCAAGATGAGCTTCTCGAAATTTAACCCATTGGCCTTCAATGCAAACTTTTACGGTACATTTGTTGCCATCAGTTTTGTTTAGTAAACGTAAGACCAACAATTATGAGGCTGCCTGGTAGTGGTTAGAGGTTATTAGTAAACGTAAGACCAACAATTATGAGGCTGCCTGATAGTGGTTAGATATAAAAACCTGTGTGGTTGTCTATGGTCAAGGGTATGAAACCATGTGGTAACAAAATACTGGTCAAGTGTGAGTGACCGTGTGACTGCCTAAAATAAGTGGACAGTTGAGTTTAGTTTGTGTGATATTGAATGTTGATCTCCTTATTTGAATGTGTAAAAGGTTGTTATCTTGTGTGTTTAAGAGTGTTTATTATACCAATATCATAAATACCACATCATTTTTTTTTCAGTACTATATTTCAATAACATACCTTTCAAAATTCGTAGCACTACTACACTCACTAACTTTAAAATCTTTGAAAGCTCTAATTTAAGTTGGCTTCTTGTACTTAACTCTCCATTATAATTTTTATTTTCTTTTATATTTTGTTTTGTTTGGAATTTAAGTTTTTGTTATCTGAACCCCAAGGAAGAACAATGTTCCCACATTGATTGGGTGTCTAGTTAAAAGAAAGGTTTCTAATCCTAATTCTATTCTAATTCAAAATATAGTATACCAAATTAATGTAAACATAATTACATTACAACACTAATAAAATGAAAAAGAATAGGGCAAATGTTTGGATTCTGATAGTAGATTTATGCTGTATACAGTAACACAGTATACATAATTAATGATATTTACCAAATTCTAAAAAAATAATACAATAGCTTATTAAAATAATAGTAATAATCCGTTAGTTTGACTCTCACTAGATTCTGGTTCTTTTTTGTTTTTTTTTTTTTTTTTTTTTTTTTTTTTTTTTTTGTGGATATATTTATATTACCGTAAACAGACAATAAAAAGATAGGTTTACTTCAAGCCAAATTGCACTTACACCCTCAGCTTATCATATATTTTTCGCTAGTACTATTGTACTATAGATAGGCCTATTATAGTGGCGGTGATTGTTAATATTAAAAATAGGCTACGTTGAATTCAAACTTTCTGAAGCACTGTCCAGATAAAAACAGGTAACATTCCTGAATATGATCATAGTGACATCACATCATCACCATATATAGGCACATCATGACTATATATGGGCACATCATGATTATATATGGGCATGCAAAGAATTTGTGGTATACACGCAATTATCAACATGAATGATAACAGCAAGCCTAGGGTATTTTGTTATTATTTTTTTTTTTTTTATTAACTGGTTTTTGGCCGAAGGCCAAGGATTGCCAAGCGGTGAACTATTATTCAAAGTGGCATATCCCTTCACAAGACAAACATAAACACAAGATGCTCTACATAAACTATGCCTCATTATGAGGCTTAGGGATTGGAGTTGTTTTGGTCGTGAGAGAAAATCCTTTTACCGTTGAATTGAACCCAGGACCCTGGGATTGGAAGGAAAGCAACTTAACCACGAAGCCACTCAACTTGACTTCATGTGCACCAAGGGCTAGCCAGCGAGCCATCAGGCCGTTTTTTGGATGGCCAACAATTATTTATGACGGCCACTTTTACCATAATAGCTTAGACAGCTTGGCCTACTCAGCTCGGCCTAGCCTAGTTAGGCTATGGTCTAGCTTTAGCAAATACCACCCACCCACCTCCGCTCGGGGTTTCACCCCCCGGCTGTCGCTATGCAAGTTCTTTGTCTTCCATTTTGGATGGCTTATTTCTTTTTTCTGGCTAAACCCCTGATGTGCACCTTGGCTTTACATAAACTTATTTTTTCAGTTGTCTGTTTACAGGGATGTCAAATAACCACAGCCCTTTTTATTTTATTACGATTCATTAAGTTGCTAAACATCATTTGTTACTCTTTAATTTTGTCGATATAATACCGGTATATATCACTGTTTTAATGTTTTAATTTATTGTTATTTCCTTATAATATTTGGGTACTAATCTATTTTTTCATTATCAATTTTATTTATGTTAATTTTCTTATTGTTGCTTAATAATATTTATTTATAATATTGTTCTTATTTTTTAATTATTTTTATTAGTAGTTAATATTGGTAATATAATCATGATAATCATCATTGTCATCATCATTATTATTGTTATCATCATCATCATTTTATTGTTAGTACATTGTTAGTATGGTAGTATATTCTGTTTATTTTAAAGCAATTAAACACTAAATATATTTAAATAATATATATTTAAATAAGGAATTGTTTTAATATTGCATGTTAGAATCATTTTCATGGGTTTTTTTCTTCAAATTCATTTTTGGCAGTTAAATTTTTCTTTACAACATTATTCATGCTTATCAATCGTTTTTATGTGCAAGTAAGGTGTCTATCTGAATTTTTTTAATTATTCGAAATTTTTCTGTGAAATAACCACCAGAATTCCTGCAATTATGAAAAACCTGGATAGTATATGGAATTTGAAGAGAAAAAGTCATTACAAGAAATTAGTATTAAAAAATATATATAAAAATAAATATAAAAATATATAGTAGTGTATTATAAAATACAACATTTGTTAAAATGATTGAATTTGTGTTAATTAGAGAGTTACAAATTACAACCCAGTCTGGAATTCGTATTTTATATATTACAAATTTTAAGAATCATGAAATTTGAATACAATAGAAACCTTGTTTTTTGTCCACTTTTGATTGTGTATAACATTTTGGTTTCTATGTTTTGATATGGTAAAGGTAATCTATTCTTTCAAGATATATTGTCCCATGCAAAATAGCAAAAAAAATCACAAAAAAAACATTCTGAAATTATACTTTCTCATTTTGAAGTACCATAAAAATTGAAAACTTGAACATAGAAGTTTAGAGTATTAAAACAATGTTTCCACACAACTTTACAGCGAAAAATGGTAGTGTTTTATTATTTTTATTATCACTATTTGGTATAAAAGTCAGGCAGGGTACACAATTTTTTAATTCAATAATTTCTATGCTCAAGTTAATAAGTATGTTATTGCAAAATGAGCAAATTAATTTAAAAATTATTTTTAATGATTTTTTTTTTTTTCCATTTTCAGTGGACAATATATCAAATTTATATTTTTGATGGAAACATTTTTCTGGGTGATTTGGAGCATTTCAAATAATGTTCAGCTAATTTGCATGCCTCATACTATATATTACTATGCATGTCATTTGCATGATATTAGCCCGGTGTTGTGTTCATGTGTTGTCTTACATGTATTCTTTTTCTCTCTTCTTTTCTCTCAAAATAATCTAGCCTCTGTTACAGGTTACAGCCCACTCAGAGAATGGTGGCGTGTCTCCAACAGATGAGGGTATTGTAACTGATGAAGGCAACGTTGATACAGCTACTGAATCCAAGGGTAAACTGAAGGCGAAAGAAATCGAGGACCAGCGTCTAGTCCGCTTCATGAAACAGGTGAACGAGGAGAACAGCGGTTACCTCACGTCAGCCCCGATTCACAGATGCATGCTAAGTTTTACACAACAGGACGTTGAAAAGATGTACCGGGAACAATTTAAACCGCGGACCTTACATAGGTTTCTTGATGATCACGGTGCAGAACAGCAGATGGAAGCGCAAGAGCGACCAACCTCAAGACGGCTTTCAAGCGAGACTATCTCAACGACAAAATATAACACGTTATTTGATGTTGGTATGGGATTCTTAGTTTATTTGTTCACATCAGTTGGATGTTTTCTCGTGTTTGACGTGCAAATACAGTGGGTGATTATCTTTGTAATTGGCAGTATTCTTCAACTGTGTGTATTTATTACAGTTTTACAGGAAGCATTCTCAACATCTAGAACTCAATGTCATTCTTGCGCAGTAAACTTCTTCCATAGTTGGTATCCGCGTCATATTCTTGGTGTAATTTTAATCAGTTTACCATCCGTTGCTGTTTACACCAACGTGCAATGCATACAGGAAGATTTAATATCGCAGCCATTTTACTGGTTTATGACGACAGTGGCTATCCTTCACTATTGTAATTTCGTTCAGCTCAGCTCGTGGACAAAAACCGGTATTGCTTTGCTGAGTGGCGTTACTCTGATCATCATATCCAGTGTTGAACAATGTAATTATAATGAGTTATGTGCAAATGCGACGGAAAGTTGGCAGGAAGACCCAGACCTCTACATCTGCAATAAGTCTGAGCCTATCATTGTTCTGCTTCTTCTTGTTCTACTTGTCTTCTTCTTAAATCATCAGTTTGAAATCAGCTTTCGCTTAAACTTTTACGGAGGAGTGCAAGCCTCGGAAGATAAAGGAAAAATTCAAGAACAGAAAAACAAAGCTGAGGAACTGCTCCACAACATTGTTCCTAAATTTGTGTACGAAAGTTTCAAGGAAACAGCCTCGTCAAAATATTCTAAAAACCATGAAGATGTTGGAATTATTTTTGGTAGCATTATCAACTTCAACGAGTTTTACTCAGAGATTTATGCTGACGGTATCGAGTGTATCCGTATTCTTAACGAAATGATAAGTGATTTTGACACGCTGTTAGAACAGTATCAATTCAGGGATGTTGAGAAGATCAAAACCATTGGTTCGACTTACATGGCAGCGTGCGGTCTTCATGTATCAAAGCCGGAGCATGAAAGAAGTTTCAAGTACGAACATCTTCAAACATTGATGGAATTTTCATTGGAAATGCAGGAATGTGTCGCACGCTTCAATAACGATAGTTTAAGCATGACAATGGGTGCGTTTGAGTTCATCCTTCGTATAGGTTTCCACCACGGAAGCATCAACTCGGGGGTTATTGGGACCACAAAGCTCTTTTATGATATTTGGGGTGATGCCGTGAACATCGCTAGCCGTATGGATTCAACTGGTGTGCCCAAGAAAATCCAAGTTGCCGAAGAGACTGTGAAAGAACTTAACCATCTGTTTGACTTTGAATACAGAGGAAAAATAACGGTTAAGGGAAAAGCTCCAATGCATACATTCTTTGTGGTAGGGAAGCGAAGTGAGCCTCTGTCATCTCCAGTACCTGTTGAGATACCGGAGACAAGCAAGTAGTTATAAGTTTGTCGTATGATTATTCTTAAGCTTGTCATGCATGAGTGGATTCAGAAATGACAGGTTTGATAAAGTACCTACCAATCCTTTGGACCATTTGTCTTTGCACAAAACTAAATCCCCCTCCCCATTTTAAATATCTGAATCTAGTGCTTTAGTATAGTAGACAAAAGTGTGGTTTTTATTTTGTTTTTTTATGATCCATACAGTTGGCATACAGGTTTTTGAAACAGAATCTGTGGCTTCATCGTTCTAGTAAATTTGGCTTGTTTATGAATTTTGATATCTGCTTGTAAAATTGTCTAAAATCTTAATCAACTTAATATAGTGTGAGTGATGTAATTATATCAGTTCTTAATATTTAACTTTCTTATCATTTATCAGTAATACTATTTTGCACATAGAGTTGTTAATAACTCGAAATGATTTTGAAATTGTAAATATGGGCGTGGTTAGAGCACCTATCAAAGTTTGGTTTTTCGATTTATAAAGTTTGAGACAATTTCTAAACACATCTTATAAAATCTTATACTGACCAATTTCGAATGTGTTATTCAGTAGGCTGGGGACAAGAATACCCAAACACACAAGTTAACTCGGTCATATTTCTCATTTTCTGTGACCTTGGTATCAATATTAAAGGGGCACAGGGCTTTTATAGTCCATTACAACACATCTAGATGTGTATAAGAGACAGGATTGTAGTATGGGTAAACTCAATTTTATTAAAATGTACACAGCAGTTGCGAGTAAGCGGACACATTTTTGACTTACCAGTATTTTTTCGCCTGCAATAATAGCATTTAAGTAATTGATTTTGTGTATAATGAGTGTTCTTTGATATGCATTGAAGGTCATTTGAATTTTTAAAAAGTTTTACAACCAATTTTTAAAAAAATGTTTGTTCTGTCTGCAGTTTTTAAAATGCACAAGATAAAAATTTATTCACAAGTTTCTAAATCAGAAATATTAATAAAATAAGTTTTTAAAGACTTGAGACAACCTGAATTTGTATTAGAAGGTGTTATAGTCATTTTGTTAATTAATGATATGTGACCAATGAATGCACAACGACGGTAAGACATAGAACGTAATGGCGTCATTAAAAGTCATCTGCTTAAGGTTACCTTGTCGAGTAGGTTCTGGAACGCAATTTGGCCAAATCTACGTTTGCAGAGAACGTAGGACGCTATGTAGGATGGTCACGTATGAGTGATTCCGTTCTAGTGTCGCGTCATCGCACAAATTGAAAAATCCGCATTATTGAGTTGTCTGGAACTGTCCTCTGTTCAGTTGTTCTTCTTTCCCATTAACTTTATTTTATCTTAACCTTTGTTTTTAAGGGATCTTAACCTGTGCATATTATGCGGAAACTGATAATTACTGTAACATCATGTCATATTAAAACACACAATATTTTAAAGTGTTTGTGTATTTTTTGATAAGTTGAACTTTTAGTGTATTTTTTAAAATGTAATAAGTATATACTTGCACATACTAATGTAAAGTTTAACAAGTTGGTTCCTAAGTAACAGATAAGGAAATGAGATTCTTTCAATTTCATATTATTTATATAGTTTTTGTTTTATTCCTCTTTCTCTTGTCTTCCATTCGGTCATGTCTTCTCTGTTACTAACATGCTGTGTTAAATTATATTTGTAAAATTCATATGTTTAATTTTTTTGACATTTACTAAAATTATTACAGTAAAAATTATTTGACGTTTAACCAAGAATTCCATTGTTTTGCGATTGATCAAATCAATATCATCATATTTATAAGCATTGTCAGTATCATTATCATCTTTATGATTGTCGAAATATTTGTCATTATCATTAATATGATTGCCAAAATACTAAACATTGTACTCATCATTATCAACAACATACTATGTTTATCGATGTGATTGAAAACATTTTTTAATCCACAATTATCATCATCAAAATCGTCATTATCATCAGTATTATTGTTGAAATATTCTCATCAAATCATGATTATGAATCATTACTTGCATCATCACCATAACTATGATTGATTTCCATCATCGTCAGAATCATCATTATTCATTATTAAAATGATTAACATTGTTGAATTGAATTGGATTTATTTGATTTCTCTCTATATACAATACATAAAATACATAGTAAAAAGAAGTCATTTAAAAACAAATAAAAACACTATAAATATACAGGATACAAATAAGAGAAAAATTTGGATAATCTGTTAAACTCTAAAGTATATTTCGAGTGGGGTCCACAACAAACACATTAAAACAGGTAAAAAATATCAAAAATCATCATTAAACATTTTTTAAAGCATTTTAAATAGAACAATCAATAAAACTTCAAAAATATTTTAAAAGGCAAGTTAACAAAGGCAACAATTTGCTTATCAAAATGTCAAAGATGAAAAAGCATCAAGAGTTATCAACATTATCATACTATATATAATTTTCTCTATACTGTATTATTTGTATCTCTTATACACAGCTTCATATTATGGTTAAGAAAATTGAAAACATTTCTGATTAAAACTTGTGAAATGAGGAGTTAGAAAAAAAGATTCTATAGGTCATTTTGAAGTTAATTGTTAAAATTTTTATGATGTTTTACCTAATGATTGCCAAAGGATTTGCCATTGCAGATTACTGCAAATTTTGCTGAAATCCTTCTAATTTTTAAGAAATTGTCTTCTTGTATGTTTAAGAATTTTTTTCTTCTCCATGCATATTTATGCTTATCTTCGCAATTTGTAGTTGATTAATAAAAATGTTACTAACCGATGCACATTTAATAAACTCTACTGTTACTTCCCCTTACATATTAGCTATCAAAATGATGACGAAATTGATTCACATGCCAGGATGATTCGGTTCTGATCCTCACAATGAATCTCCCCTGCCCCTCCCGCTCTCTCCCCTCGGGCTCCCAGGGTGTCTGGCTCTCATTGGAAATCCCTTTCTTGGGTTCTATCAACACTATACAATTTCTGCGACAAAAAAAATGTGAATTTGTATATGACATCATTCCCATATTTGGATGAGATATGACATCAACATTCCCGAAAATGACACACAAGTTCGTCACATAAGATTGAATAATGAGGATTACCCATACATGGAAATGATAATGTCATACATCCATGTATGGGCATGATGATTCCTTAAGGGGGTTTCCTAGTTACAGGCCTGTGTGAGGATACAGAATAAACAGATTGAAACTTCTTCCACAAGTATATATTTTATGGTAACAATATTATGATTTTTGGAAAGTTTAAATCAGAGTGTACATTATCGAAGAAAGCATGTAAACAAGATATTCAAGAAGCTTTATATTAAAAAATTATTTTAAGGGTTTTGTTGACTTTTACAATTTTAAATATATAATTAATTTTTTTTTAATGGTCCTATTAATTAATATTAATTTAATTAACTTGTAAGCAAAGCTCAGTGCCAATGAGACACTGCAAAAACTAAGAAGGGGTAACAGTCAATGGGTGATCAAGAAAGGCAACATTCCCACCCCCTTCCCACTGTAAACAAAAAACCATTGTTGACCAATGTTGAAAATGTCATGAATTATGAGTGACCCAGAAAAATGCATCTTCTTCCAGTGTCCTTATCCCATTCCCAATGTTTCAAAGCTAATAATAATTAGATTCTCCCACCCTATGTTTGGCAACTTTTTTCATGGTGTTATTGTTGTTTTTGGAGTAAAGGGCATTATAAATAAATTGAAATAAATATATTAAATTCAAAGTAAAACTTGTTTGATAATGTTTACTGCGACTGTCTCATTTTGATGGTCATTCTCAGTATTTAAGACTTGATAATTTAGCAAACAAAATAATGTAAAAACTTATATTAAGATGTACATAATAAACAAAACAATTGATGTGTTAAAATTTCTTATTCATATAATATCCTCTGTCTTTCCTTTTTATATGTTTTTTATTCAAATAGTTTAGTTTATTCGATCAGCCAAATAATTATTATCATTTGATTATTATTTAAATGTTTTATAGGTTTTTGATTATTGAAAGTAGTCAAACAGATTTTAATTTGTAATGAAAAATGATGAAAACATATATAACTTCCCCTATTATTTTGTGATGTAAATTTGTTATTTTATTTGTTTATTTTTAACGAGTATGTTTCTTACTCAACTATGGTATGTTGTGGTGTTTGTGTAGTTAGGCACATGGACTTATAACTCTGGTGTATTATTCTTAAAAATTGTAGTGTAGTATTGAGAGAATGTGTATGTACAGTATATGTATATATATG